CTGACGACTTCATATGTAAGGTAAATTATGTCCAAGAATTTTTTAAACAAAATAAAATAATTACTTACAACACACGGATAGGTTATAAATAAGATCTAAGCGACTACTGACTACACCAGTTCAATACAAAGTTGCCAGGGAAGATGAAGAGAAAACTAAAAAGCAGAAAATGCGGCACATTTCTGGCTTTATACTCTGTCAGTATTAGTTCCCGAGTGTGCCGCAGATGGCAGCACCTCCCGGGATGCTCTACTTTCACATCCATATTACTCTGCCGCCAGGGACAAGAGGACTCTTGCACCCACCCTCACTATGTACCATATTATTCTAAAACCTGACATTTAATTTTATAATCAGTATGAAATAATGCATAAGATTGTTTTACTTTTAATTATGGTTACACTAAAAAAATGAGTTTATTTTTACCAGGGCACAAGATATTTTGCGAGAAATATACCATGTACAGTAGGGGGCAGGGAAAAAACACTTTTATTTGAGTTGCAGGCTGCACTTTTCAGGCATCGTTTGTATGGCTGTAACAAACACCTGTGCAAAATTTCATGCCATTTCATGCATACTTACCCTGCCGCATCGCGAACGACTTTTTGTCAACTTTTAGTGTATACCAAAAATTAGGTGTCATTTAATGTTTTCCAGGATAATGATAAATTTTACATGGGTGACATCGATTTAATTCACATGTTATTTTACAGGTACACCGTATAGAAAATCATTACAAGTTCATATTGAAATTCTTTTTTGTGCGGAACCTTGGCATCATTTTCCTAGACAATAATCTTTGCCTAATATATCCATCTCTCGATTCGTATCCCGTCACTTCAGTGCAAGCTTCAGTCATCACTTTTATGCCTCTCTCGACCGCCTGAGTGCTGTTTGGCCACTTGGGCACCACTAATGGTGTCTCAAGAATGTCATTAACCTGTAGATTTGACAGAGAAGCAATGTAAGGAGGCTCAGTCTTGAGTTCATTCCTCCAGTTAATCATGGAATGATAGTTTTTTGCTTGCCACTTTAGTTTCGGAGTCACCACCTTTCTCATGTTGACTACAGGAGGCACATCCTCATTCCCATCTCCACCTTTACCCTCCTCATTAGTATAGTTTAACAAATTCTCGTCAACAGCAGCATCAGAATCTTCCTCCTCCTCTTCAGATCTGCCAGTGCATTCTTCCTTTTGCTGATTCTCCTCTCTAATTTTTCTTATCATTGAGACAGCTTTTTCTCTAACAGTCATGTCCTCATCTGCACACATACCAAGAAGAAGTTGATCTGTGTGGGCGAAGTATGCATTTCTCTGGACAGCCTTCTTCACTATCGTCTCCTCCTCACTATTCAGGTGTTTCATATATAGCAGGGACTGGAATACGTTCCTTGAGCCGTGTGTTACGTAAGGGTGTATCTTGATGTAAAACCACATTGGAGCACTGAACTTTATTATTGTAATGACAATTCTTTTCAACTCATGGCTGGGTCTTGATGTTGCTACATACAGCCTGAGGATTCTACTCCATAAGGTGTTCCACCTTGACACACAGGGAGGACCTGGCTCAATAGCAGCCAAGTCATCTTCAACAACACCTGTGATAACTCCTTTACAAATCCTATACAGGTATTTCTGATCCCAGGACAGATCTTTCTCCACTTCATCATTAAACACAGGGAAATCAGGGAAACTGACTGGCTGGAAGGCGACAACTGGAAGCTCAGACAAAGACTCCTTGATCTGCTTTCCAATGGGACCACGCCAATGCTCAGGACCACTTGGTTTACCATCATAGTGATAAAAAACTGCGCGGAAAGGCAGCTCATTTCCGTGAAGCTGACATATGAAATAATGGAGCGGGTGACCAAGTAACATTTCAAGATGATGAATGACTCCATTTTCTGATCCTACATTTACATTGGTTCCATCACAACCAACACACACAATGGGCTGCTGGGTTAGATTTTTCTCCACCAGAAACTCGTGAATAGTTTTGGCAATCTGCTTTCCGTGTCCAGTCTTGGGAGTCACATGTGTGAGATATTCATTGCCAGGCTCAACCATGATGACATAATGATCTTTCACCATCATCCTCGAACTCCATTTCTCGGTCTTCTCATTCTTTATCATCACACGAGTGGCGGTCTTCTTACCATCAAAATAGAGTGACGTCAAATTATCTAAACTAGCCATCTCAATTTCTTGCCTCTTAAATCGGTATTTTTGTCTCGCATCCCGCAGCTTATGTGGTCCAATAACCTGACTCTTGTCATCCTTTGTGATAATGCCATAGTCAGTTAAGGTGGCAGTAGCAATGGCAGCTCCAGCATAATCACTAATCAAGTATCGGTCACAAGCGGCAGCCAGTGTAGGGAGAAATGAAATGAGAAAAGGCTGATAATCAATATAGACATAGCACCATACTCATCTGCAACAAGACAACTTAAATGAAATAAGAGATATGAAAAAAAAGTTGATAAACACTGAACAGAACATTGCACCGCCACAGCGGCTGTTTGGCTAGTACTGTAGGTAAATTTAAAAATTTCAGTAGAAAATGCGGCAGACTAAACCTCGACATATCAGCTTCAAATTTGGCATGGAGTCTTAGATATGTATAAGGAACAATGCCTGAAGAGTGCAGCTTTGAGCAAAATTTCACTGCCCCCTATAGCACGCGGACTTCAAATATATAATCAAGCCCTCACTAGCAAGGAAAGAAGTTCTTGTAGCTCCTGCGGGAACAAAATGACTTCTGTAGAGGCAAGTAACTCACGGCTGTTCAGGATTGATTGATTTTGCCGCTTACAGCGGCTAGTTTATTGTGCACCCCACACTCATCCTGTGAGCGGTAGCGCAAAAGGATTACAGAGTAGAGTTTACAACGGGTCATAATAATTAACCCCCGTGGTCAGGATATTATGGCACTGAATGTTACATAGTATTTTAATTTGTTTAGTTCTATACATAAAGGGTAACTTATTCACAACTGCGTGAGTACAGGCGTGTGAGGCAGTTTGTCTGGCCGCACACTTTGTTATTCACATTTGCGTGAGAAGTATTCAAGCACATTCTGTATTTGGTTTTATACATAAGAACTGATATAGTTACTAAGTGCAAAAATAGTGGATACAATCTTAATATGTCGACAATCTTGCCATTTGAGATGAAGTGTTGTGCCATTTCACACACAGTGTGCTTGAACCTGTCCCTAAAAGGTTCTATCTTCACACAGTCGAGGACGTAGTGGTCAAGTGTGTGGCCATATATCTGGCCACACACTTTACATTTAGTCTTGTTTACATCTGCTTGAGGAACATACTGCCAGAGGTACTTATATCCTAACCTTAATCTAGCTGTTACAACATCTTGTAATCTAGTGACCTTGTTGCTTGCTCCATATACATGTTTCACGTGATACATCTCATCATGGTAAACTATGGATTGACTAGTGCCTGTTTGCACTTGTCTACTTGCGTCAAATTCATCAATAAGTTCTTTCCTAATTACAGTTTTAAGGGTTCTTTTTGACAGACCCAAATTGTATTCAACGGTGTCTTTCTTAGACGCGAGTTTGGCGAGGGCATCAACTCTGTCATGTTTTATGAGGCCTATGTGAGAGGGGATCCACAACAGTTTGACCTTGACATCCAAGCCAACAAGGTACGCATATTTGTGTCTGGCTTCAGAGACAACCGCGTGACAACTTGAGTTGAGGGTGTAAAGAGCGAGTAGTGAGGATAGAGAGTCAGTGATGATGAGACTGTCAGTGACAGTGATTTCAATGAATTTAATAGCTGTGAGTATGGCAACTAATTCATTTTGTAGAGTGGATGCCCAGTTGTTAATTCTAATTCCTTTTTCAATAATATTACCGTCAGGTTGAGTCACAACAATAGCACTTCCAGCCCTCCCACAGGCGGTGTTAAGAGATCCACCAGTGTAGATGGTCTGTGTGATATTATCATCAGTCTGTAGAGTGTGTATGTGTTCAAGAGCTCTCAATTTGGCAGTGTGTTGGAGATAAATGCTTTGTATCATTAATTTTTTAGGCGGATATGTCGGTATTGTGATATCGAAGAGAACTGTCCGTCAGGGTGGCAGGAAGCGCTGTTGTGTCTCAACTTTGTACAGGTGGTCTAGTCCAAACATCTTTTAGCTGTTGTATGGCAGGTAAGGTGCAAGGGACGGAGACACCAAGATATTTAAAAGAAGGAACATAGTCAATAGTGTTGTTACCTTTCTTGAACTTGGCGGGGCCGTGTTTGCAGTTACCAGCTTGTTTGTTGATCACCTTAGTTTTCTCAGTGGAGATAATAAGACCGAGGTTCTCACAGGCTGCGTATACATGGTTCAGGAGGACAAACACTGAGGTGGTTCTCGAGGAAGGTTACCAAAATATGAAGAACTCATTCACTGATTTTTTTAGCAGAATCTTTAGATTTCTTTGTTATTGTCATTACTATTTTCATTGATTTTATTATTGTTAACCCTTTCACCAAGTGTCACTCACTTGCCAATTTATTCTGGCTAACGCCAACGATTTTATTCAGCTTAGGGTAACCTCCCGATGTGAAAGGGTTAAATCGGAAGAATTTCAAGGTGTCCGCCAGCCGGAATGATAATAAAGACAAGGATATTATATTGATATTACAGGTAATAAATATGAGAAAAACAGTGTAAATACCGTATGTGTCGTCATCATATATACTGAGAAAAGCAGTGTGAGTCAGGCCGCCTTATATCCCTAACTATAATTTTATGTTCCTAATCACAACTGGGGTAGGTACCCCGAGCTAGAACCTGTGACTCTTAGGCCACTCAATCCTCAAGGCCCCTTCACGCCATAAGTGTGTGTATTTTGGTTATTAACAGAAATTAGACCCATTGATATAGTAGCATAGTTTATTAATATGTGGGAATATTGTAGAGCAGTGTTGGTCGTACACTTTGGGGCATAATACATGTTAACCAGCCTGGGGGAGGGGAGGGAAATTTACTTTCCTTGTGGAGGTAAGTAGCCTTGGTTGATGCCTCCTGATCCATTTGAGTAGCTGTTGGAGCCTCCACCGTTTGATCCACTGGAGTAGCTGTTGGAGCCTCCACCGTTTGATCCACTGGAGTAGCTGTTGGATCCTCCACCGTTTGATCCGCTGGAGTAGCTGTTGGAATCTCCACTGGAGTAACTGTTAGAGCCTTCATTAGAGTAGCTGTTGGATCCTCCACCGTTTGATCCACTGGAGTAGCTGTTGGATCCTCCACCGTTTGATCCGCTGGAGTAGCTGTTGGATCCTCCACCGTTTGATCCGGAGTAGCTGTTGGATCCTCACCGTTTGATCCACTGGAGTAGCTGTTGGATCCTCCACCGTTTGATCCAGCTGGAGTAGCTGTTGGATCCTCTGCCGTTTGATCCACTGGAGTAGCTGTTGGATCCTCCACCGTTTGATCCACTGGAGTAGCTGTTGGATCCTCCACCGTTTGATCCGCTGGAGTAGCTGTTAGAATCTCCACTGGAGTAACTGTTAGAACCTCCATTGGAGTAACTGTTGGATCCTCCACTGCTAGATTCATCGGTGTAGATGTTGGAGCCTCCACCGGAGTAGCCATCAGAGCCTCCACCGGAATAGCTGTTAGAATCTTCACTGGAGTAGCTGTTGGAGCCTCTACCATTAGATCCACTGGAGTAGCTGTTGGAGCCTCCATCGGAGTAGCCGTCGGAGCCTCCACCGGAGTAGCTGTTAGAGCCTCCACCGGAGTAGCTGTTAGAGCCTCCACCGGAGTAGCTGTTAGAGCCTCCATCTGAGTAGCCGTTGGAGACTCCACCGGAATAGCTGTTAGAGCCTCCATCTGAGTAGCCGTTGGAGCCTCCACCAGAATAGCCTTTGGAGCCTCCACCAGAGTAGCTGTTGGAGCCTCCACCTGAGTAGCTGTTCGAGCCTCCATCTGAGTAGCTGTTGGAGCCTCCACCGCTTGATCCACTGGAGTAACCATTGGAGCCACTGTCAGAAAGGAACCCTCCTCCAGAGTAGCCGTCAGAGCCTCCCACGTTGTTCCCTCCGGTGTAACCATCGCCGAAG